ACGCGACTCTTATTTATTCATAGCTATTTCCTATGAACTTCTATGGATAGCGCTTTTCAAATCTCAATGACGATAAACCACACACAAAGAGCTTTCTCATGACACCCTTTAATGATTCATATCAGGCAGTGGACTTCATCCTTCGGGAGACCGAATGGAAGAAGACATCTGACCCAAGCGTGGATGATTGAGACTGAACAGAGATCTAAGAGATTACCAAGCTGCACAATTCTTTCTGAACATGCCTCTTTCACTTCTATATTCATGGCAGGAAACTATTCTTAATGTTCGGGGATAGCCTTGCTTTGCTCAAACTCACTTTTTCATATTATACTGACCACTTTCACTTCTTCTTTTCTTGATATCGATGATATCATTCTTCTTATTCCCAGCACTAACAACTTTTCTGATATATTTGCAAAAAAAACCTACCACACTATCCCCTCTGCTCTATCCCAGCATGCCAGCGCCAATGATGACAAAAGAAATCTAGCACTTTACTCCGAGACTCTCATACATTACTGCTCCATCTGTTTCTCTCCATGAAGATAACGATGTTCGAGCACGGTCAATGAGGAGTGATGTTTTAACGGTAGTTTTCAATCTGATGGCTATCTCATCCCTCACATTTCTCCTTTCTTGCTTTATGTTCCCCTATTTGCATATCAGACTAATGCTGGGATTGCTCATACTTTATTTTAGTTATATATCTATTTCTACTAACTACAAACCACAAGATGCAGAGAAATTGCTACTATCCATTAATGATATGGATTTTACACATGATACCATAGAAGATAGCTAATGACACAGAACAAACAGACATGGATATCCTATTCAAAGGATATGGACAAGAAATGGATCAAATAAAGGGGACTGGAATGGAATTCAAGCAACAGACAGCCCAGTGACGAATTCATATGAAATCAAAAGCCAAATTTGCATGGTATCCGGCATTGACGTGTGCATTCTTGCATAAGTCATTACTATTTTCCGCCTGGAAACCGGTGAGAACCTGAGAGCTAATCTGAGGGCTGTCTGTGCTGCTTCTGCTTTTTCTGTTTTGGTCGGAGGGGGGGTGTGTGGTTTTGTGATATGCTGTTGGTTGTTGATATAGTATCTGGCCTTTTCATTGGACTTATGTTGTATTACATACTAGGAGACTCTTAACACTGGGTCTAGGTTTGTATTGATGGATGGCTGAAAATTTACCTAGTGTTTAAAACAAGGTCTATAACTTTTTATCCAGTTATGTACATCATAACCAAATCTACCAAATCTATATTACATCAAAGCCACCCTCAAAGCGCCGTCGGCAATATGGTATAATTCGCCGTAATATTCATCGCCGCAGCAAACATACACCGATAATCCCCACAAAAAGCATGAAAAACAATCTTACTCCCATCAATCGACGCCGTCGCACCCCCAGGCGACTTCAATCCAAAGTCCCCAGTTCGGAACAAAGGTCTCTCGGCCCTGGTATACGGCCCCTTTAACGACGTCGACCACGCATATTTAACACTATACTTTGACGAGGTATAGCAATGCGAGGAGAAGAACAGATAGTAGATGCCCCGATCAGTGCGGATAATATCCGGAGCTTCGACTAACGGTCCGTCGACTTTCTCATTAGTTAGGATTTGGACGGGGTCACCGACGGGAGTGACGCCGTCGTCGTGGAGTTGTTGCAGCATGATGGGCGTCGACACGATGGGTTTCTTGCCGTTGTTGCAGTCCCCGCCGTGACCGACGCTGTTGCCGTCGACTTTGTAGACGACGTAGAGGGTCCCGTTGACGTCTTTGAATGGGGCGGGGTCGATGGCGCCGCCGTGGTCGCGGGGACAGGCGAGGGTGCTGTTGTGCGGGATGTAGGGTCCTAGGGGACTTGTGCTGTTGGAGACGGCGGCGCCGACGCAGTGGTGGCGGAGCCAGTCTTTGAGTTCGCCGGAGTAGTAGAGGACGAAGCGGCCGTCTTTCTGTAGGATATATTCAGTTGGGGTTTGTGGGAGGAGTATGTGGGGTTTACTCACGCGTTGAATCACATCCGGAGCGTACTGGTTCATATTCGTTTCCCAGCTGCTCATTGCCGGCATGACATCGTATCCTTGCAGCCAGTCCCAGCTGCTAAAGTTTCGCGATGTCGATACCGGGACGTGAGGAACATCGGGATTATCTGGTGTAGCGACTGTAGCGTAGGCATACCACGTGCTGTTCACCTGGATTAGTCCCGGGTCGGGGAAATCATGCACGACGCGGACTGGACGATTGGCGCTGTTGTAGTAGCTGGGATCGTCGTTGTGGGCATCGTCCACCAGGAGAACTACTGGGACGGTTATCACCACCACGATTATGGCCACGCTTAGAGCTATCAGGGTGATGAGCCATGTTATCTTCTTTCGCGTCCAGATCATGGGGTTTTTTGAGCCGCCTGGGGTTGTGACCGCTGAGGGCGGCTTGGTGGGTGTTATAGTACTACTACCACTCTGGCCCTCATCCTCAGCAGTATCTGTGGATGGGGTGGATTGTGTCCATTTTTTGCTGGTGCTGCTGCTGTTCAGCAGTGATGGGAGGCCTTTCATGGTATCCACCTGGGTGAGAGTGTACTTGCTGGGATGTTGCCATCCGCGCGCGCGAACCAGGGGATGTATTGGGTCTGAAGGGTGGCATTTACTACCTTACTGTGTTTGGTGGTTAGGGGGAGAAGGTAGCTGGGCCAATGGGGTGAGCCATTGGTGGAAAATAGGTAGAGGTTTTGAGGTCAGTGATAACGGGTCATGACAAACAGATGATAGGAACGATGGTGAGGAAAGTTTGGAGTAAAGCACGCAAGTCATTGTGAAACCGGCCGAGCGAGACTTGACCTGTCTGACCATTCCTAAGATGTGAGTGGACGGGACGATCAACCACTGCCAACAGTGTCGGAAATGTCAAATTCCTGTTCGCCATTCTGAGAGATCCAGATCCGCTCGATCCCTGCTTACCTCAGCGGCTAGGTCAACATTCTTCTATTCTGGTGTAGCAGAGCAGGGAAGAATAGTACAGCCACATCGTATGCTTGACAATGAGCGACTCAATGTATGCATTCTGGTTGAGTCTACAATTAGGTGCACACTCTAGCTCGTGATGCTTCTATTGATAGTGATCAGTACCTTGGATTCATCCAAGCCACCTACAACCACAGCTCGTTTCCGTGTTCCTTAGCTGAGAAACCTGATTGTAAGGTTTCATCTGCGGGAGAGTTCACGACTCGGTTCAGGCACTGTAACATACAACGTGGGAATTATTTCTCAAGGTTTCAAAGGAACCCATCCAAGGTCCGGAGATGCGCTTATCCATATCTGGTATGTAGCGGGCCTGGGAGACCGCAAAGAGCCATTCAACGCCTGGGGAGGTTCCACGTGTTGCACGTGACCATAGAGAAGAAAGGGGAATCTGGACTTTGTCCCCAACACAAACAGGAGCATCCAAGCAACTATGAAGTACCACAGGACAAGTTACACCTGAAGAGTGGAAGATGTGTGTGTATGTGTGCCTTGCTGTGGAAAGTCCAGGTGTTCAGTTGTCAAACTTGACAGTGTTATTAAAACCACAAAGAGTATAGCGTGAACTGCAGATCAGATACTGTGATAAGTTTGTAGCATGCTGCTAAGTTGACATGATGGAGGAGATATCGAGCCAATGATAGCTGCAGTGGTTGTTGCTTGGCCTGACCCGCGCCCTGTAAGTGGACGAGCCATGCAGGTCAAGCAATGTAGGTGGCTTTCACCTGTCACTATCACGCAGAATACATAGTCATCCCAACACTCCCTACAAATTCATCTACTAAGCGCCGGAGCCAAGAAGTCGGGGGTGCAGCAGCCGGCCCAGCGTATGACGCGGCTTCACCAGGCTGACGCAGTGTCCACCCTTCAGGCTACGTAAACCACCTCTTCTTCGGATGGGCTGAGCGGGTGTGTGCCCCTCAGCTTAACTCCGATGTGAATGGGGACACGATTCGTAGTAGAGAGTGATGCGAAAGCAAGAACCCTTTCACCCAAAAAAAGGGTGGCCTGGGGATAGAAGTAACCTTATTGCAGCAGGGACTGCTCAGAGATCTAGACCGCGTAGTGGACCTGGCACAGTTTCTAAAATCGTTGCGATCACAGCGACATTTGGCTGCAAACGGCCAACACCCACCAACCCGATTTGTGGGGAAAACGAAGGCGATACCACCTCGGATGCGAAGTTTATCGGCAACACAACCATCATCCCGCATCTCATGTTGAGACAAACCATCGTGCCAAGTGAACTGCGAACCAAGCACTTCAGACGAGTAAGCATTTAATCAATCTGACAAGGCTTAGACGATCATCTCCTGTTGCGGATGCAGACGAACGAGGGTGTGTGGATGCCAACGTCGTATGCCATCCAGCAATTTTTAGCGACGCGTTTGGACTGGGTCGGAACTTATAATGCAGAACTGCAACCCCTGGTTTTTTTATTTGATCACAAAAGAGAATTGTATTATTCTTTTGGTGGTGTACTTAGTGTCCAGGAAATATTCTCCTGCAGGCTGTGGAATAACGACCACATTCTAGACGGCAGAGAGTGGAATGGTCGAATGCTTATCAGCCCGAAGTGCCCGCCGTTTCTGACGCCACCAAACGACTTACTCTTTCGCCGTCGTCACTCGGCTCCACTGCTGCTGCTTAGCCTTAAGCTCAACAACCTTTTTCTTCGCCGGCTCCTCACTCCTCTTCCAGCACCAGCTGGCCTCTGTCTGCTCTGCTGCTCTTGCCTTGATTTGCTTCTAGCCTCCTAGCAATTCCTTCAACCGGCAAGACAGCTTTACTATCCCTACCAATCGATTGCGGTTCTTTTGTTTACGGCGCCTACCGACCCCCGACCACAGCGACCGCGCGGCCCAGGAGTCTTGACGCTTTTCTTACGAAACACCCCTAAAACCTTGCAGTGGCACGATCGCACAGAACAGCTAGCGATGCGAAATTGCTGACACTACTTCTGGCGAAACGGCTTTTGACACGATATACATATCGATCTTGCGTTTATCGTTGCCTGGCGTTGATCTGCTTTGATCGTCGGCGGAGTTGCGGAGAAGACCGGCTGCGGTTCTACATAACTCAGCTGTCTGCCAGCTCATTGCGCCTGTGTGACTATCCACCTAATTAGCGATCTTCTCATATCTCCATAGCGATGCTCACCTTTCGGAAGTCGCTACTAGCGGCTGCGCTTCTGATTACCTTCATCGTCTACCTCCGATCGTCGCATCCCGCCTCTTCCCTCCCGTCCCCAGAGACGGCCTCCGCCGGACACCTATACGATCAGGATTACGACGGCCATGCAGACAATGATCGAAAAGGTGGAACGAGAGACACCGTACAACAGCTGCCGCTGACCCCGCCACCGAGCGCCCCCTTGCGCGAGCGCTTGCGCTACCATTTTCCGTACGATCTGGAAGCCAAGTTTCCTGCATTCATCTGGCAGACGTGGAAATATGCGCCCTCCTCGATGTTCTTCAGTGAAAGCCTTCGTGATCCCGAGTCCAGCTGGTCCGAGCTGCATCCCGGATTTGTCCACGAGGTCGTCCCCGATGATACCCAACGCCATCTGATCAAATACCTGTACGGTGCTGTTCCGGATGTGTTCGAGGCCTACGATGCTATGCCGTTGCCCGTCTTGAAAGCCGACTTTTTCCGATACTTGATCCTTCTCGCACGGGGTGGAATCTACAGCGATATTGATACGACGGCGTTGAAGCCGGCGTCTGACTGGCTGCCAGCAGAGTTGGATCTGGCCACAGTTGGAGCGGTGGTGGGCATTGAGGCGGATCCTGACCGCCCCGATTGGCATGACTGGTATGCGCGCAGAATCCAGTTCTGCCAATGGACCATTCAAGCCAAGCCCGGACACCCCATCATGCGTGACATTGTTTCCTACATCACGGAGGAGACTTTGCGGATGAAGAAGGCGGGTATTCTAAAGACTGGCAAGATGGATAAGACTGTCATGGAGTACACTGGGCCCGGCGCTTGGACGGATGCCGTTTTCCGGTATTTCAACGATCCAGACTACTTCAACATTGAACCCGGCTCGACGTTGAACATCACGTACGAGGACTTTACGGGTCAAGAAGGGTATAAGAAGGTGGGAGACGTGGTGGTTCTTCCCATCACCAGCTTCAGCCCGGGAGTGCACCAAATGGGTGCTGGGGATGTTGATGATCCCATGGCATTCGTGAAACATCACTTTGAAGGTATGCTACCTATCCTCTCTATTGCTTGACTTAAGCTAACATGCCTACCAGGAACTTGGAAGGATGACCCGTCTCTATAAGCCGTCATCAACAATTGCTTTACATCACATCTACACTACGACTCATCAATCCAGCTGGCTCCGCCAGTAGGACACTGAATGGCTCTACTGATACAACACGTGTCATTGCACAATAAATATGACCACATACCCTCAGTGGCATATCATCCGATGCTTGCACATTGCCGGTTGACACGAGCAAGAACCCTCCCATTACCGCCCGTTCGGCAACCTCGCAGCATCCACCCACCTGTTTCCGTCCTCGACCTAAATCTAATGCCCTTGCTTACCCAAGCTAGCCATGTCATGTATACGAAATGCTGGCTTTCCTACCGAGTAAGCTATTGCTTGTGCTCTAAGTCACGGCTCTTAGCTTATCTCTCTCTCATGACAAGCATGTCCGAGCTTAAGCTCGATCGATACTATGCTTGTCAATGGCTTCATCTTTTTCTTCTCTGTGTTCATATACCTGTGTTATATTTTTTTAGTGTTTTGCTCCAAAATCTTTAGAATTTGATACCCGCAGGCTGGGAACACGAATGAGAACAGCGATGCATCATGATCACCTTGGACATATCCTCCACCTAATTTAGAAGTGTTTTTGTACCTCTGACCGGGCCTTGCGGCGCATACTTCATTGACTTACGTAGACTGGTAGTTCGCTCGCATCCTCTCCTCCATCGGTCGACTAAACAATAGCGCTCTGACCACCTATCAATAGTACCCGCGTCAAGTCCTATGGTCATTTACTCTAAAACCACACCGTTTCTGGTCAGACTTCTCAATGATTAACTCATCTCTGTTAATACTACCTTAGCACATACATTTTAGAAGCTTAGGATAATATTGGATCTTCTTCGTAAATATTATCTGGATTAGATTGAGTAGTAGTAAAATAGTATGTTCCCTTTCAAACATTGACATGTTCTTTGCACTTCTCAAAAAAAATAGGAAAGTGTACTGAGATTGTTTAGGAATAAGTATATAGACTACTGTATCTTGGATCGAGCAAGATGGAGTCAAATGAGATTCATAATAGATAAGTCCCCGTATCCCGACACTGACAAGTACTAATGTCACGACAGATCGCGCACTTGCTATAATGCTGTAGCTACCAGGATGGTGGATGACAAGCAAAACCCATAAATATCGAAACAGAAAATCGACATCTACTGTCCATTATATATCCGAAGAAAACCTCACCAAACACTCCTCCTTATACGCCTTCAACTGCTCCATCTTCAACCTCTTAAATGACTCCAACTCCACCCGTGCCTCCTCATCAAGCTCTTCAATACCAGTACCAGCAGAATGTAGAGTATCCCAATAAACAACATCAACATCAAAGCTCTTCCTTGCCGCATAATCAAACCAGAACCGACCGGTCCTCCACGAATCGCGCATTCTAGCAGAAAGAGACAGATGACCAGGCTGCTTATACTCCATCTCATGCTCCACCCTCGCCAGAGCACGCAAGAACTGTTCCATTCTGGGCTCAAACAGTTCGAGAAACTCGTCCAATGCACAACGCTCAAGCCACACCTCCGGTCCAGAAAGTAATAGCCACCAGGGCGGATCATACGTGAAACTAGCAGGCATGGCGTTGGTGAATTCGAAGTCCAGAATGGCGGTGATGCGGTGGGTGTTTGGGTCTATGAACATATTTGAAGGTCGCATGTCGTCGCAGAAGAGTATGAATGGTTCGTTTTCTGTTGGGTAGTATTTGGGGATGAGTTGTTTGAAGCGATGGCGGGCGATGAACCGGTCTTGAGCGATGTCTGGGTCGTCGGCTAGGTTCCGCTGAGTCTGAAGATGGGTCAAATGCTCGTTCGCAAGAGATTCAAGGTAATCGCTGGCGCGGTCAAAGGGCGTAGTTGGCCATTTATCAACAGGGTAGCCAGAGACAGTAATTAGCTCGTTCATGTTGTATGTTAGGGGGCGGTTGGGGACGTGCCATGTGTTGGATGTGTTGTCCTTCGAGATAGCCCCGATTTTGGGGAATGTGAGGTGGGAAAGTTGGGAGTAGGTAGCGGGCGATTTGGTAGTAGATCTTGTCTTGGAGTGTGTTGTCGATGTTCGGGTTTAGATACAAGTCTTCTTCATCTGGCTGTTTCAAGAGAGTTGATAGGAGGGTTCCATTGGCATAGTCCATGATGATGAATGGACCAAGGTTATGTGGACTATCGGCGGTTAAGCCCCAGCTGTGAATACGGGGGATGGGGATATCCGTGTGTTGACGGAGGTATTCCATGACTTGGACTTCATTCGTGATCTTTTCATCTCTGGAAGCTGTGGCAGTGTGTCCCGGCTTCGGGAATCGGATGATGGTGTCCGGCAGTCCATCGCTGAAGGTGTACCGGAAGCTGAAGTTGAAGGAGCCTTTGAGGAATTCAACGTAGGATCCGGTTCCCCCTCCTTCTCGGCGCGTAGCGACAAATGTTGCTAGTTTGGCTCGTGCATCGAAGGGTCTGTTCAGCCACTCCCTGCATTCATCATCGCCGTTGGTTTCTTCAAGCTCGTCGAAGTAGGTCTTGAGTGGGGATGTCTTTTGTTGAGGCATTGGAGGAGGTAAGATGCAGAGGGGTAGAGATGCGGGCTAGAAGCACGTGTTGGTAGTGGTAGATGTTTGGTCAGGCCTGGGCGTACAGTTGGATATAATATGGAAGATACAAGGAGTATAGGTTGGATGAAGAAGGAATTTGAAGAAAGTGAGACAAAAGTGTAAGACGACGGGGACATGCATTGAGAATTAGACTAAACTTCAGCCGCAATGACAGTCGCTGTAGTCCTCCGCATATGCTTGCCTCCCCAATACACACAGGGCACTGGCAGCATACTACGCGAACTCTTTGCACAAATGGAGAACAATAAGACTAGACAGATATTGCTAGGGCTTGTATCGTTATGCTTGACTTGGAGGATTAGAAATGACTTATTTTTCGCTGGACCAAGTAATAGGAACCGTCACTATTAGCTAGAAGATGCTATTCAACTTCATAGCGAAAACTGCTTCGTATTTGTTCCACCAACCGCAGACACTCGCGCCTCTCAGCTGTGACCAACATCCACGCAATGAAGTGAACCTCACTTGACTTTGGACCAACTAGTCTATCTCCCTTCTTCTTGATTGTCGCGTACAGCGGCACATGTGGCTCCAGTTCGGGGTACTGGCGCAGGAGCTCCGCTGTAGCATCTTCGGTTTTCATGATCCCAGCAACGTCTTCTTGGAGTACGAGTATCGAGAGGCTGGAGCGAGGCCCATCAGAAAATGGGTGGCATAATGCCCTGTATCGAAACTCATCATTGACGGAAAAGAGCATTTGCTGGGCGAAATAGTCCACCCCATAGACTAAGTTGACTCCAACACTCTCTAGATATCCAGCTGGGCGAGCATTTATTTCAAGGAGGTACACTTGCACACTCTTTCCATCATTGGTAGCATCTCTCCGAGGGTATAAGTCTTCAAACCCGTTGTCATCTTGTCGAAATTCATGGCTCGAATACTGCAACCGCGCTTCGCAATGGAATGTACCGGTTAAGAACCCCTGACGAAGGATACTCCGATGCAACGTATCCCGGATGGCCTTCAATTCATGCAATGGAAGTGCGGAAGGTATATGGACCATAGTCTCAACGAAGTTATGGCTTTGTGCAGAGTCCCTATCGCCAGGGCTCGGGAAGTCATCACTGATCTCGCAGAAGATGACCTCTCCATTCAGCAGAACGAAGTTGGCATCGACTTCTGGACCATCGATATACGGCTCAATAACGGCGTCACTGCGCTGCTGTGGAGCTAATGCGTGACACTCGCAGGCTTTCTCGACCGCCTCAAACAATTCAACTGCCGTAGACACTTTCGTGACAGCCTGACTTCCCCATCCCAGGCAAGGCTTGACGATGAGAGGATACGTCACCTCGGTAGACCGAAGGACTATCTCCAGTTCATCCGTCCCAAAGACTCGGAAAGCCCCGTGCGCGTCTGGCTCCATCATTCGAGTTTGATACTTATCTCCTGCCAGCATATAGGCCGACGATGGGGAGGTAGGATATCCAAGGATTTCACACGCTCGAGCCACTCCGATTAAGCGACTATCGCTCACTGTCATTATGCCATCAATGGGCTTGTCGTAGCTGCGGACCGCCATGACGATCCTATCCACGAATCCCTCATCCACGTCGATGTTTGTGGAAATGAATCCCTCTCGGAGATGGGCGTACGGCCCGTGGTCATCCTGCAGCCAGTGACCCGGCTTGTCAATGATAACCAGGGTGATCCCTAGTGCCGCTGCCGCCTCGTACATGCGTCTGCTCGCATCTGCGTCTTTGCGGCCTTCCACCCACGCAAGGCGTTTCCGGGGAACCGGTGTGGGGACTACCCATGAGTATGAGATCCGGTTGCATAATGCCTCGTCGACGCTATGTAGCGTGTCGTGGAGATCAGAGCCAGAGCCAGTGTCAAGTAGGATGCCACCGACGGAAATCGACAGGAGTGCGCTCAGTTCATGCGCCGTTCCATCTATCTGGACTCGTGGGGTTGTGACCTGTTGTAGTGGGCGCAAGAATCCTACTACCCGGGAAACATGCTTCACCCCATCTAGGCGTTGCTGTAAGAAATCGGATCGCGCGATATAGCCGTCTTCCCGAGATAGGATAAATTTCATGATGACCGGGGACTTATCATCCACGCCTTTCTTGCATTTCTCGATAGACTCTATGATAAAGCTGGTGATTTCTGATGCCAGATTTCGTGGAATGTTGAGCTCCTTGTCACCATTCTGTTCATCGTCATAGCACACAGCTGACGCAACACCGTTGATGCCTTCGGTCTGGGTAAAGGTGTTCTTAGGATAAAGCACGATGTTGAGAGACTCGTGTCTCTGGCCATCAAAGCCCCTGACTGGGTCCACCTTCCTCCATTCACATCTGAAATGATCTGATATAGCAGTGCATGATTAGAGACGGGTCGGTGTAGAAAACACAAGTTGGGAGAACTTACCCGTACTACACTGTGTAGTGACAACTAGGGTGCAAGTGTAGGCCATTTTTGGAGACGTAGAATTGTGTATGGAGGGACGATGAAATGGTAGATGAGAGCTTCTTGCTTTAGAGGTATAATTACCCGTTTATTAACCGAAAAACCACCACTTATGTCTTACTATCTCCCTTACCAAGCAAGGAGAGGCTCTAGTCTCGGAATCGGAATACAGTTGTAGCTAGTCAGCAACTACTCCGCAGTCCGGGGTTTAGTCCGATTCCGCCCCCTTGTTAGTCATGATTTGATGGGACCGAAGATCTCGTTCCCAGAAAAAAGATACTTACGCATGAAACCCTAACTTCATCATGCTGACAGGTCGTCGCGGACCTAAGAAGCGAAACATATTAAGTAAACAATCTGCCTGGCGATGCCGAATGCCGAGTCTCACATGCTCAGCACATATCGAGAGCGGAAACGATGATCGATCTGGTTGGGGAAAAATGGGAATTAGGTATATGCATCCCATGTCCATTGCATATCCCCTCTGAAGAAAATGGAATTCGTGCTTGGTACGATTTTCCCCCTTGTACACGCTTCCGTGGACATGTCCGAAGGATATTGTGGACACTATCGGAGCCTATGGGCGTAGATTACAGACTTATAATCTCGAGAAGTATCGATTCTATTTTCACAGTGACGGAGAATCTGGATTAGATAGTGGAGAAATGTCCAGACCCTTTTGGCTTCGAAGTAGATGTGTATATATGGAGGGCACTCATTCTATGCGGGCTGTTGATCAAAATATTGCTGCATGCTCTAGGTCTAAAGGTATTACTAGTGCTAAACCAGAGATTTCTATCGTTTTTTAGGGGCATAAGGTAGATCTGCTCGGATCTATCAGCACATGCATCGGTGTGTGTGAGTAATATATAGTGGGATGTGTGGAAGTATGAGCTTTCTGTTGGGTAATGTGTGTAGATTTGTGTTTAAGTGTCAGCGGCCATTGGGTTCCTATTAAGCCTAGTAGTTTTGGCATCTTGCGGTGCTTTAGTTATCGAAAACTATATGTATATTGAGGGCTCAACCACTACAGCCCAACAGGTACTGAGGTTTATAGCAGAACGACAACAATAACATTCGAAATATGAACATAACATAGACTGCATTACTGCTCAGGCGCCGATATGCCATGTTTCTCTCTAATGCGCGATAACAACAATTCCCCGAACCCCCCTTCAATGAGTTCGGCTCTCAACTCAAACCCCTCGACAAGCTTACGGATAGCCTTGATAAGATCAGCATCGCAATTATCCATCACTGCCTTTACCAACCGATCTGGTTCGGAAACAGGTAGCCTCCCTTCGAGACATATATAAATCAGAGGAACCAAGCCACTGTACCCATTTAACTTTTCATCAAAAGCAGATGAGGCCAGGGCATCCAGAAAGACATCCTCCGAGAGATCGACTGCTTTAGAATACTGAACAACATGCCGACCAGCCCTCACCTGAACCCATGGCAATTCGAAATCTACCCCACCATAGGAGAAATTACAGAAGTCATGATCAAACTTCCAGATCGCTCTCCAAATGTGGTTAAGGTCTATAATGCCAGGCCATTCACGGAGGAGCCACTGTAGCCCGTCAAGGCCGTTTGCAGCGGCAGAAACCATGACTCTTTCGGTAAGTGGTACAGCCGAGCCATACTTCTCAAGCAACCACGGCAATGCGGACAAATCTGCATAAGTGGCACCCACAACAACTTCCTCGGTTATCATAGGAGGTGTCTCGGGCCCTAGTGCTTGAAGCAGAAGTTGTAAAGCTTCTAATGTGGTCGAGGCTGCCACTATAACCTTCTTTGTGATCGGTACCTCTGGGCCATGATGTGCCAAAATACGTCGCAAAATTTCAACTCGACGATATCCTCTTACCACAGCAGTCATGACTCCTTCTGAGATTGGAACATCATCTATTCGCTCATTGAGCAGAACGCAAAATGGATGGTCCTCGCCCCAACCGGAAGCTGCTCGGATGGCGGCTTGCTCTGTGATGGGTACACGGGGTGTTGTCTGCAGCAGGAGTTCCAACGCGGAGGTATTATGTGCAAATCTTTCTATAATCCCATGGTCAACTTCAAAGGACCTCTCATTCAACAGAAACTCAAGTATCTCTGTTGGCCTTTGACCATCTTCTATTTCTAGAGCTTCGACCATCCTCGTCACTGGCAATTGGCTATGCGGTTGTTCCATCAAAACCTTTAAAGTCGACATTTCGCCACGGCATGATTCGACAAATACATCTTCGCTCACGTGGATCTTTGGTCTGCTGCGGAAAATTGCCTTCAGAGTGGCAGACTCAAAGGTTTTCACAGCATGCAATATGAACCTTTCTGTGATAGGAAGAGGATGTATCTGGGACCTTTCTTCAAGATCCAGGAGATAGCACAGCAAGTCATCACAAAAAATTCTGAGCATCATGCCTTCAGTGATTGGAATTTTCAAGCCTCCGTTGTTCATAAGTAATTCAACAGCATGTTTAGTCTTTGCTTGGGAGGCTGCCGTGTCCAGTATTGCGGGAGTAACGATAAATCCTGCTTGCTGCCTGCGCAGGAGCATTTCGAGCATTTCAGCTCCATAAAATAGGTTGCCTACAATCTCCAGCATGACTCTTTCGCTCATTGCAAAATCCAGACCACGATCATCTAGCAAGGCTTCCAGCTTTTTGCTATCTCCGTTACACGCTGCTTCACACAGAAGATCCTCGCTAACTGGTGGCCAATGCCGTCGATGCCGGAGAATCTGACGCAAGACATCGCTACGGTTTTGAACAGCGCTCGCCAGAACATTCTCGGTCAGCATCGAATCGTTGTCCAATACACTTAAGAGTATTTCCATTTCAGTGTCACCCGCGTATCTCGCAAAATTAGCAATGAACTGCTCATCTATCACAATCTCTGCACGCCGTTGCGCAAGAAGTATTGCGATTGCGCGCACGTTCATAAAGTCCGAGGATTTCAGCATCTCCTTGATTCTTGAATAGATTTTGACATCATCATTTCGCCTTTGGAGAAGAAGCTGCAAAATATCGCCTCCACACGCCATGTTTTGTAGTACCGTTTCCATTACGTTCTCTGTCACAGGCACAAGCGCAACTCCTGTTTCTTCGTACTGATCAAGGAGGACGGTCACAAGTTTCGTGCCACAAACCATGTTCCTCGCCGCAGCGACAACAACGCGCTCATTTATCTGAAGTCCTTTGTTCTCGGTTCTAGTGAAAATAGCACCTGAAGCTGAGAATGTGTCAAATATATCTTCCAGCTTCTCGCTTTCAGAAGCATGGCATCGAACACCTTTCACTATGCCCTCGGCTAAATCAATAGACACGCACACCTTGTGCAGCAGTAAATCCAGTAAGTCCAGATGCCCACTTTCAGAAGCCATCAGTAACGCATTTTTTACAGCCCGGGTAAAATCCCATCTGAACTGATATGCGAAGCATTCTAAAGGGTCCGCGCCTTCTTCTAGTAAACCAATCACAGTTTGAATGAGCCCTAAGCCCGATGCGATACCGATAGGGGTTGGCTGTACATCTCCCTCCGTGAAATCTGTCGTTATATAACGCCAGTTGCGGTAGGCAGTTGATTGACGAAATAGCATATCCACCATCTCTTGGAGGTTTTCGAGTGCTGGGCTTGGGGTAACAGCAGAAGCATTGAAGTGCTCGTGCCAGTTACGAGCAGCATAGTTTAGCAGCGCTTCTTGCTTCACTTCCTGTATAGACAGCCTCCTCGTCTTTTGCAGGAGTAATCTCAGGCTGTGCTCAGCTAGCATGGCGTGCCCATGCAAGGTGGAGAATTGGTGCCATTGCCTAGTATTCGCGCTACCCACGAGGAATTCCTTCACGGAGAAGTGAGCTAATCTTATCTCGTTATCCGAGTGCCGAAATGTGACGAATGAAGTCGTGCAGATTTTGATCACGTCCTCTGGGACCTCAAGACCTGCTGCTGCTGTTACTTCAGTCAGGGTGAGAGGTCTGACACTGAAACAGAGCCAGGTGAGGATTGTTTCGGCATATATAACATCGGAGGGTTTCGTGTTGATTCTTTCTATTACAGAAGTATATATGTCGTGCAACGTCTGTGGCATTGTTCTCAATGCTTCTATGATTTGCGACTTGTTGCGACATTCTTCGAGACGCTTCAGTTGAAGGTCTGCCCAGCGAAATCGCCTGCGCAAAAGAGTATCTATATTAACAATAGCATTAGCTGGAGAGATGCAGCATACCTTTTCTCATCTTGTAGCAGTTCCTGAATTATCTGTGCTTTCACTTCCTTTGGAGCTCTCCTGTCGTCCAGAGCCTCAACCCTGTCCTTGACGAAGGCCGAAATATCAGACCCCTGTTTTCCCTCGATGTCTAAGGCTGTACATTCCACGAGGTGATCAACTATATCTGGCTCTGGTCGACTAGTCACAAGGATATGAATTTTATCACTGTATTTCTTCTGAAGTCCAGTAAGCAGTGGCAACAGAAGACTCCTTTCCTTGCGATTGACTGCCTCGGGGCACTCGTCCAGCGCATCTAAAATTAGGAAAATTTTCCCTTTGTTGGCAGCAAGCAGTATTTCAAGAGTCTCCTGAAGCCTTGTACTGCTTGGATTGCTTCCTTTGGTACCATAGTCGCTCCAAAGATTCCGGATAGGCTCGTCGAGTGGAGTCGAATGAAGCTGACGGATGATCGTCCTGAGCATATTCTCAACTCTTTGTGATGACGGATCATTGAATTGGAAATACCAGTAAGCGAACCGCGTGTTCGAACCATCTATACAAATTCGTTGGATGTCTTCGATGATTGTCGAGCTATATTTAATAAATGTCAGCCGAAGGTACGAAAGTACACGTTTTTAGCAGGTCTGTCATACCACATGACTGATTTACCACAACCCGCTTGTTTATGAGTCAGTTTATTTTCCATCTAAACAGGTCTAGAGAACTTACCCACTCCATGTAACCATAATATACTACCTGGGCAGTTCTTCCACCTCACATATTCTTTTGAATTCAAAAGCCAATCACCTGTCCCTGGTGATCTGTGATACTGAGTGTCGTTCTGTGCTTTGGAAAAGTCGTACTGAGATAGCCATTCAAGTATTCCTTTATCCTCGACACCTGCCAAAGTCAAAAACTGTGCTTCTGAGTTGAGCATTTTTGAGAGAGCTCACTTAGTACAGTGGAATGAAGTTTCTGGAGCTCCTCGACCGTCTTGTCAATAGCCGTAAGGATGTCCGCAGCCTGTCCCCTCAGATCTAACAAGATTGAGCACTTTGAAGGTATGGATAGGATTGAAGATGATAAACTCACATGTGCGATCGGTGATGGTAGCCCATTTGTCAGCCACTATAGTTTTATTTTCCACAGCTGTGCGAAGCTTTTGCAGTGGCTGTTCGGTAAGGGGAATGAGTGTGCTTCCTATGCGAGCTGCAATAATCCAAGTTAAACATATGCGCTATAGCAACTCGCGAACCTGACCGAATACTCGAACTAACCAAAGCCGCTTTCGTGATATTTTTTTCTCACTTCCGCCGTGTATTCAAGTATTGCTGTATAGACTCCCACAAGAGCACCATCTAGCTGCTTGTCCACGGAAGCCTTTGTGTATCGGCGGTCGCTATCTAGGACAGTGAAGTATGCTAGCTGTTCCGCCAAGTATTCGGAGGCTTCTATGATTACATCTCTGCGCGCAATATCTCTCTGGACCATCTAAAAAGCGAGTTAATGAGTCTGTAACCGGTTTTCGACGGAACAGTTTTCAAGGAGTCGCCTACCGTCAAACCTAGCGATACTATCGTCCATGCGCTTGACGCTGTGGTTGAATATCAGCATCTAAGAAATTCTGCGTATATAAGTATGTGGCGTGTAGAACCCTACCGTGTCCACTTGGGTCGAAGCTCGCAACCGCAGTGATTATCTGCTGCGCATTCAATGCGGACGCCAGGATATTTTGAGCGATTTCGCGGACTTTGATCTCACCCCCATTATGTCTTCGGATGGTCAACTCTTTCTTCTTATACTCGGTATATTTACTTTTTGTCTCGCCAATGACATCCCGAATGATTTCGGTCGGCGTCTTCTCCTCTTTAGACAACCAGTGTTTTTGTTTCGGGTCTAGGTTGTCAAATGCTACTTGCCAGAGATCCTTAGGTGAGGCAGCGGCGTGATCTGGCGGAGTGCTAGCAGCCTCAGAATTGCTTCTTTTGGCAGGTGTGGTGTTTCCTCCATCATTCGAGTGTTTCGCATGGGGAATGGCAGGTTCGGCCTCGTCAGCGTCACCATCAGCCTGGGAACAGCAGAGCTTCGCACGTAGCTTCGTCAGCATTCTTTGGTGAAGAGAAATTTAACCATGTCCGTGAACAACTTTCGAAGAGTTGAGTAGGGAGGTGAGAATCAAGAGTTCAATGTTGTGAGCTGAAAAGAATCCCCTCTTCCACGCGGTTTCTCGGGCATCTACAGCCGCTGTACACGTCACCCTGCAGGAGACTAATGTAGCCTCAGCACAGCCCGATCCCACAGAACTGCGAAGTTCCAGTATCACAAACAAATGTCTATCTGTAGGTACAACTCTATCCTTTTTCCTGAGATCTATCAGCATCTAAGAGGATTCCACAATAGGTCTAGGAATTAACATTATAGATTGACGTGTGAACTTCTAGCTATTCTGCGTTCAACCGCTCATTCGATCCCTCTCCATCCAGGCGACGATCCATACTTCAAGAATACTTCCGCTAATCTCTGCTTTCTTTACAATGTGGAAACCAGTGGATCTTCCCTTCCAGAAATCCCAACCTCAGCCTCCACTACCTACAACAGATGAGATCCGCGCCTGCACCAATGTCCTCTGGGAGACCATGGCCTCTAAGGTCGTGACAATTAACGACAATATTGTCGTAAAGTATGGAGGTTGTATAAACACCTGGGAAGGCCAGGCATTGATTTACCTTGAACAACATGTCCCCGAAGTTCCAGCCCCTCGACTGTACGCGATGTACTATGAGGGCAAGCAACTTTTCCTAGTCATGCAACGCATCCCCGGTGTGCAACTAGATACTATCTGGCCAACATTAACCCCCTCCGAGAAGGATGGCATCATAGCAAAACTTCAACTAATATTCTCCGCCATGCGAAAGGCTGAGTGTCCATGGCCCAACTTTTTCGGTGGCCTGGACGGCGGCGGCGTACATCACTACCTATTCTACAGCCAGCACGGCGACCAGAAGTTTCTAGGGCCTTTCACTGGTGAACCAGCCTTCGTTGCTGGCCTTGTGGGTAATTATAGGGCCTTAGTCGAGCGTAACAATCATCCAGACTACAAGGCTCGCTTTTACGAGAAATACCTGGCTCGCGTTCTTCAAGGTCACCGGCCTACATTGACACATGGAGACGTTCAGCAGAAGAATATCATGGTTGTGATGAATCAAAGTTGCTCAAACGAGGGTGAGCGATCGTTTGACGTTGTGCTGGTTGATTGGGAGAATGCTGGCTGGTTTCCTGACTTTTGGGAGTTTTTTTGTGCATCGCACCCTTTCATTTTCGAGTGGGATGAAGACTGGTCATGGCGAGTTCAGGAGTTTGTGGAAGTGTGGCCCGCTGAGATGGCTATTATGCAATTGATTGATAGGGAGTTGGGCTGGTGAGATATGTCATTCCATAATTACTTGTATCCAGACAAGATGGAGAGATGGAACCGATGGCTATAGGACCGATTGTGTCACCACCATTCCAGAAACCCTTCCTCTGCCCAGAATAAGAGGCTGGGAAGTTTGTTCAGTTGAACGGGGTACTCGGTTGAATCAAAGGGGCTTATAGGGAAATACGAGCGATACTCATGACATTTTATTCTACTGTCTAAGACTTATATATGATAAAGGCTACTAGTAACTTAATCTTACGTATAAAAAGTAACCAGCTTACTTCTGATTAGATTCTTGATTGTGCGATTAGTACTTTGGCATTGAGGAGATGGACTAGAAAGGTCCTGGTCAATGAAATAGGTAGTGTAACTGTCAGTATATACGCTGAATAGTCTAAGTAAATGGGTATACTAACTAGAGATATATCTTAAAGCTCTACACCTGGGAGAATGATCAAGCATGAGGGAGATGCTTATGCATTTTCCTTGCTTTTATTACATTTCTTCAAATTATTGTGAAATATTGAACTGATTCGTTATCATTCGCTAAAAGAACATACGTTTATTGCTTGATACAAAAACACGTGCTCGAAACATCATGATACAATCGAGAAGTCCTAACTGATCATCAAAACCATCATCACAGCAAGAAGAGTATATTGCTGAACGACTGAGAGTAACATGAAAGATGATCAGCTATGGTTGAGGATAGGTCATTCAAACAGCATTGTTAGCACACGTCCAGACACCACTGCCACTATCCTTGCTGATCGCATCGCCCGATACATATAACCCGAGACCGCACTGTAAAAGACATTAGCGACAGGATCCTTTTAAGAATAGAAGATACATACAAGGGTAATTGCCATGGCCAAAATGAACGTGTTGGACACGGTAAGAAATATTTTCTTGGTTGATGCGAACCACTGGCCCTTGTTCAAGGTGAACCAGAAGATAGCAGGGAACCCATCTATAAGCTGTCGTTAGTATATTCCGTAGCATCTTAGATTATTTGAAACTCACAAGCGAACCAACAGCCAAAAAGTGCAGTCTATCATCGAGGTTAGCATGTGTATTTTGTAACAGGATACTACCACGTACAATTAGACTCAAAAGGTTGTTGAAGACTGGGATTGACTCTGCGATGACCCAGGCAACTACCCAGGAAATCAATCCAATAGCGACCCATGAGCCGATGGAGAGCAATGTCCGTTCATGCATGTGATTTGTGCCGCGGAAAACACGCACGTACACGTACTTGCTGGCTACATGGCCATTGACAATTCCCGCAATAAGGACCTGAGGACATGAATCAGTAGCCGTTCCAAAAGATACGGTAGTTAACATACAGTCGGAATAGCCAGCCCGTAGGCGATCTTCTTTCCTAGGGGCCCCGCAGAGCCTAATGCAGGAGATTGAACGTCCGCACCTACGTAGCGGTATATAACCACTGCGCTAGCTATGTATAGCGAGGTATCAATGACTTGAAGTACCGATATGGACTTGGTGAACTCTCGAGGTTTGTCCATCTCTGAGATAAATCCAAAGAACGACGCATGGCCGACTGTTGATGGTCGTGAAGTTAGTTGTATTGCTCACGAATCATGATTAGCTGGAGCTATACCATAAGCAAAGAACAAATTGCTGACAGCCAGAAATTCTTCGTTGAAACTGAGATGGGTAGTCGCAGCAAGAGGGATGTGGCCTTTGTACTCTACGCCGACCGCTATCATAGTGGCCATAGTTGCCGCTACAATGCTGAGAAAGGCTATACAGAGATTAAATTAGTATCATAATAAAAGTGAAGTGTGAAAGATGGGAAGGTGCTTACATGCAATCGACATCCAATATACTTTGTCCATGGTACGTGGTAAGGCACCAACGCAACTGACAACCAGTGCAATGACACCAAACACGATTGTGCAGGTACCATGCTCGGTAATCGTATTCATGAGAACCGTGAAGGTCAAGACGTGACTGGCCATAACGAATATAAGGAATAGTAGCTGGCCGATACCAAGCAGTTCCCGTCCGAATCGCCCCATTATGATTTCACCCGCATCTCCCATGCTATGGACCTGGGGGTATCGTAATTTGAACTGACAAAGAATGTAGGCCGTATACCATGATATAGCAGATATTCCAATCAATATGACAAGAGCCCTAGAACCAGGCTTAGCTTTCGTCTACCAGTGTAGCAGGTTACTTACGGGACAAAGCCCAGTGTTGCAAAGGCGGATGGAAGGGATAGAATTCCAATAGAAACATTCTCTGCGACCATGACTGTAGACAATAGGAGTTAGGGGTCTATGTCTTTTGGGTGACTGTAATAGGGTTGAGGCTCACGTATCCCTGTTTTCCTGCATGTTGCGAAGAAGGGTCAGATACAAGGCCAAGGCGTAGTCTAGGGACAGGGAATATAGAACTTACCACCAACCCATCGTCCGATATTTCACCTCTGCGAACTCTTCATTTCCAAATGGATCTTCCTCTTCAGGGGATGGATCATCCAGTTGCTTCTTCTCCACATCCTGTCCGTAGTCATACGCAGGAGTGTCATGAATCTCTGCCAGGTCTCTGGGTCCTATCGAAGCACTCATTCTTCCCAAGATGACCAAGTGGTAGGACTAATAGATGGGTATCCTATATGAAAGTGTGAAGAGCAAGTGAGGACAGTAGACTCAGCACAAGAAGTGGTGAGATTTGCAGGTGAGACTCGAGAACATCTGGCCTATTTGAGCCAAGTTGGCTTGCACCTGGCCATGCTATTGACCCAGTGAGAGGCCAATATGCCGTCTGCCTGAGGCACCCATGATCATGTCGACCTGACGGTTGCAGTCAGCCAATGCACAAGGACCATTTGCGAGGCATCGGTTTATCTCCGCTAGCATGACGTATTGCCTATACGTGTATTTGGGCCTTCTGACCCTCAAAGGCTACCTGCTGGGTGCTGATAGTGAATTCCGGTGGCTGTTCTTTTCCACAGCGGAAGCTCATGGATAGATATGGCCGATCCATAGCCTGATTGGATAAAGTAGCGGGATGGGAAAGGCTCAGCGATGCGGGGATAAGCATAGTTGATTAGCGTCTGGGGAAAACATGTCAATGAGATATGATAGTTCGGGTCGAGTAATCGTTGGCTAATCAGTACTCCCTTCGATAGCGCCTGGGCACTTATCTCTTCTTTCGCCTGTTGTGAGCGGCTCACTCAACTGCAGATGTGGAGCCGTGGACGAGGAATGGAGATTAAGCTATTCACAGCGTTAGTGAAACCTTGCAGGTGAGGTTAGTGTATGCGCTGGAGAGATAGCGGGTTGCTGCATGAATCCAACAGCCGATACCCGTCCTTACCATACACAAAAGCAATAACATCCATACCTGCGCGCTACGAGTTACCCCTCCCGGGAGCCAGGGGTTAGTGCAGCCGTATCTGGCATCTTCATTTGCACTCGGCTACTCGCTTTGCTGATCCTCGTAACGGGCCCAAATACTTAGGAACCGTCCGGCTACTGCCGCGGTCCTGATACGTGCCCGCAAAAATCATGGTCATGACAATCAAGTGGAGAGATAAGTTATTCTCGTTTGCTGTGCCCCGCACTGGTATTTGCCCTATCTAAACATCCATCTTCTGTGCAAAGATGCCCTCAAATCCGTATTGATTATACACCCCACTCCGAACGCCGGTAGAACCCTTGCTGCCCTCAGCGATGACGATTGCATATAGCCTCTCCGTATCGTAACGGATCTTTCTGCTATCGTGGCCACTTGTGGACGAGCAATAACATCTAACGCGATCATATGGAATGGCGTATTCACATATTGCACCAAGGCGGGTAGAGCGAGCTGGGTCACAGTTCTCTTGGTATGCGGGTCTGCAGTGATCCAATCTGGAACGAACGAGGCCACCTGTGGAGCCAGCGTGAACGAGCTGGATATAGTGATGCTGTCGCGGAAAAGAAATGCCATATACGCGAGTCTTGGGATGGGAGGTGGCTGCTTGAGACGACCGTCTGGGTGTCCGTAAATCTGAGAGAACCGGATATCCTTTAGGATTCCCAGAGACACATTGACGACGTATGTTGGGAGGAAGCTGAACGTTGCGACGAGACTCGCGCTTGTTGATTTCTCTCTGATTCTGGAAAGCTGGTCGAGGCTTGTATCGGTGGCATTTGCGGTAGCGTAGGTTGCGGCGTAAAGAGACCAAGCGATGAAGAAAGGTCGGGAAAAGTAAAACTTTTTCGGTTGGAGGATGGAGCAAATGGCATGTGTGCGAAGTGTATGCAGGATGGATTTATTTGAGGAGAGCCTCTCCACGACGCTCCTGAACTCGACATATCAGCACATGGAATCTTTAGTTCGTCTTCAAGATACATACCGGTCGATAACTGTTGTGATTGGGGCGATAATCGTTGCAGACAGTGATCCTGCGACTATATCGCCGGCTAACTGCCTGAGCCAGTCATTATCCCAGCCACGAGAGTGCAATGGCTCCGTGGTGACACGTTCAGGCGACATTCCGGAGTTCCAGGTACTCAAATACACCCTGGAAGAGGGGCCTTCAATTATATAGATACAGTCAGCTCAACAGCAGGGGTATCGGTCTCCAATTTGCTTCATACGAGGGGATGCCCAGTTTTGTGTTGAATTCTTCAAGAGCTTCCATACCTCGTGGAGATACATCGGGGAGAGCCTAGGGGTCTAGGGCTGTTACGGACAGAATTCACCAGACTTGTAACCTAGAGCTATGACAAGCAACACGTTGACCCGACAGGCCTAGAGCCCGATAATGCTCTTCACCAGACATGCTGTGTACGAAAGGAGGGGCAGTCGGGCACCCCTCACATGAGCGTGAATCTTTTCGCTCTAACCGGTGAGAAAGCCTATCGGTAAAGTTGCGTGGATAAGATAGCCAACACCCTAGCTTATCTAAACGCGATAATCAAGCCAAGGTGTGGCTGACACGCGGAATTGAAGTGAGAAGGCATTAACAAGAGGTAGACCAAAGGAACGGTTTCATGCCGCATTAGGGGGATCTCCAGCGGAAGGCTAGTGTACCCGCCACTATACTTAGCCGGGAAGGTCCAAGTGTCGGGCTAGTTTACCCGCCAGCTGGATGGACTCCAAATCGGTGGATCTTACTCCTCACTCTCCTCACTTCCAGCTGCAACAACGCCGAACATCGGTCTGCCAAGCAATTGACTCCTCAAGCACCATGGCCAGCATCATACATAAGAATGATGTTCACCATGTTCGTCTCTTCCAGGTCTATGCTCAGTTTTTCCTCTACGGCCTCTGCTACCAGACACTATCACAATGGCCTTCAAACTACCTTTGTCTCAACCCTCACCCAGCTTGCGCTCCCTAGGACGCCGTGCCGCTAGAGCTCCAGTTCTTCGAGCTCGTGGTGTTGCGACCGTTCCTTTTCGTCTGCCAGCTGCTAGAAATGAGCCCAACGTGAGTTGCTGGCTTCCTACCCACTCCCATAGCACGCATATACTAATTCTCTCCTTGATAGCTGGACTACACCAGGGGTTCTCCCGAAAGGGCAGAGGTCGAAAAGGTGCTAAAGCAGATGAAGTCACAACTGCCCCTCAAGAGTCAGGCATACGTGGGAGGCAAAGCGCTCTCGATCTCCAACACATTGCAACAGCCTCTGCCCGCCGAACATGCCACTACCTTTACCAACTACCCTAGCGTGAATGCTGCACAAGTAAATGAGGCAATTGATGCAGCATTGGCGGCAAAGGAAGCGTGGCAGAACACTCCCTTTGTCGATCGGGCTGCCATTTTCCTCAAGGCTGCCGAGCTTGTCGCCGGCAAATACCGATACGAACTCATCGCTGCTACGATGCTGGGACAAGGCAAGAACATCTGGCAGGGTGAGATTGATGCAGCTGCAGAGTTGGCCGACTTCTTCCGTCTAAACTGCAATTATGCTGCTGAGCTGCTGGAGAAGCAGCCCGACCGCGGTACGGAGGGAATGTGGACGTAAGTGCAAAGCTTTGAACTCTGGACGCTCAGATATTAACTGTTCTCTAGCCGTGTGGACTACAGACCCTTGGAAGGATTCGTTTACGCCGTGTCGCCTTTCAACTTTACTGCTATTGGCGGAAACCTAATTAGCGGTCCGGCTCTTATGGGCAATGTCGTCGTTTGGAAGCCCTCCGATTCGAACGTGTACGCGAGTGAGCTCGTCTACAAGATCCTCCTGGAAGCTGGCCTGCCTCCCAATGTTATCCAGTTCGTTACAGGTGATGCGCAAGAGATTACACAGACAGTGCTCGGACGCAGGGAATTTGGTGGTCTCAACTTTACCGGTTCATCGGACGTCTTCCGTTCTCTGTACGCTCAGGTCGGCGAAAACATTGGCAAGAAGGTCTACCGGGACTACCCTCGTCTGGTTGGCGAGACCAGTGGCAAGAATTTCCACTTGGTCCATCCCACTGCCGATATACAGAGTGCTGTCTACCACACTCTTCGCGGTGCTTTCGAGTACCAGGGACAAAAGTGCTCGGCCACGTCCAGACTGTACCTGCCTGAGTCTCGGGCACAGGAGTTCTTGGAGAAGTTGAAGTCCGAGATCAACGAGATCACAATCGGTTCTCCCGAGGACATGGGAGCTTTTATGGGCCCTGTCATCCACAAAGCATCTTTCGAGAAGATCAAGTCGGTCATCGATGCCAGCAACAAGGATCCATCCTTGGAGTTGATTGCCGGTGGTACCTACGACGGCTCGAAGGGATACTACGTGCACCCTACTGTGTACCGGGCCAAGGATCCCAACCATGAGCTGTTCGACAAGGAAATCTTCGGTCCAGTGCTCGCAGTTTATGTCTACCCTGATGCCGAGTGGTCTTCGGTTCTGAAGACAGTCGACCAGAGTGGCGGTGGATTCGCTCTGACTGGAGCTGTATTCGCAGGCGATCGGCGTGCCATTCGCGAGGCTGAGGATACCTTGCGGTACTCTGCTGGCAACTTCTACATCAGTAAGTGATCATGCTATTACTCTCTAGATTTCACTACTAACGAATTACGCAACAGACTGCAAGACTACTGCTGCCCTGATCGGACAGCAGTCATTCGGTGGCAGTCGCTCTAGTGGAACCAACGACAAGGCTGGCAGTCCCAATGTCCTCATGAGATTCGCCAGCCCTAGAACGATCAAGGAGGAATTCTTCCCCTTGAACGGCTTCCGGTACCCCAGCAACGAGTAATGGTTTGAATATTATATAGGCGCCATGAGACATGAAATTGGAGGTCGGAGTGTGTAAAAATAGAATTCGCAATGATAACGATTCACCTTATACTGTTCTCTCCATGAGTAGATAGTATCTTAGTACTACCCAGTTCCAATTGTAGACATTAGTATAGAGACTACCCTGTTGAATCAGGTGACCGTCTACTTCGAGACAGCTTGTTCACTCTACAGTTTCACTTTCACCTCAACTTCAATGACACACACGTATCGAGCTCGTCCATGATCATCATTTCAGCAAATCTCGAGCCACTGCATTCTCTTGCGCGAAGGCGATCTGTTACTACTACTCTCACCGCTACCTAAAACATGTCTTAATGTCAGGATGTGTAAATTCTTCCTTGTCCTTCTCAAGACAAAAACTAACATTGACTTTTCCAGCTGCAACGAAGCCCCCGCACCTCCTATCGGCTATCGCCATGTATCCCCTCATGCAAGACCCACCGACTGATTATCTCTTGAGACTAGGTCCCCATTATCCAGCCGATACAGCTATGTACTAGCGTCACCGCCTATCTCCAGACCCTCGCATACACTAACCGGCGATCATCGTTCACGCTAACGCCTCCAACGCCCCCGTTCTTCTCCAAGATGACAATCCCCACATGAACAGTAAGATAGTGTATCCGGTATGTATCGCTTGCGCTAACCCACAATTCCAGATGTACCAAACGCTCGAGCCACTCCGATAAGCTGCACGTTACACTATAGCTGCGCGTTTCTGGTATGTGCACTCCAATTCTGGTGGAGGTACAGCGGGGGCAGACGGGGGAGGAGTGACTGCCGACCTGTTCATGCTCACAGCATGCTACCTGTACAAGGTATGATTCATTTGAATTGCCAAGTGATTCCTATGCCATGATACTACTAGTATATAACCCCATTGCAGCTCATCAGGACGAATCAACCTCTCATGCTCCCTCTCAGTGATCATCACTTGAGCTGACCCTCTCTCTCTGCCCCCTCTCACACCCCAATTGTGCCCCCGTATACCATCCCACAATGGTATCAACATCCAAATCCGACCCCATCGCCATCATCGGCGCCGGTGTCTTCGGCCTCACCACAGCCCTCCACCTCTCCAGCAACGGCTTCACCAACGTCTCCGTCTTCGAAAGAGACAATCAAGTCCCAGCCCGCTATTCCGCCGGCCACGACATCAACAAGATCGTGCGCGCAGAATACGAAGACCCATGGTACACTGAACTGACACTCGTACGTCCTTTCCCCCCCCCCCCTTTCCCCATTCAATCCCATTCTCTACCCCTCCACCCACGTGCCTAACACTCCTCTCTCAACAGCAAGCCATCGAAGGCTGGAAAACCCCCCTCTACGCCCCGCACTACCACCAAACGGGCTTCCTGCACCTCGTCTCCGGCGCCGCCCCCGAAAAAGCCTCGCAGACAATGAACCGCTTCCTGGCCTCAATCCGCAACCACCCCACCTACAAAGGCAAACTCACGACCATCTCCACCCCAGCCGATATCCGCAACATCGCCTGGCAACTCACCGGCCCCCTCCCAGGCTGGAACGGCTACTTCAATCAACTAGCCGGATACGCGCACTCGGCCAACGCTCTCCGCGCCGTCTACGAAGCCGCCGCAGCTCGTGGCGTGAAATTCTTCCTCGGCGAAGACATCGGCAGCGTGACCTCGCTGATCTACTCGTCCCCCACGAACAAGAAACAAGTAACAGGCGTCCGCACAGCCAATGGCCAAACCTACCCTTGCAAACTCGCCGTCGTCGCCATTGGCGCCGCGGCATCTACCCTCGTTCCTGAAGCAGGGGGCCAAGTCGTCGCGAAGTCGTGGTCGCTGGGACATGTCAAATTGACCGATGAAGAGACATCCATGCTCCGCGGCATTCCGGTAACCTATGCACGCGATCTAGGATTCTACTTCGAGCCGGATCCGAAGACCAATCTACTGAAGATCTGCCCTATGGGCGGCGGGTATATCAACACGGATCCCGCGTCGGGGGTATCGACACCGCCGAAGACGCTGCAGGAGAGTGAGGGGGTGTTGCCGGCGGAGGATGAGAAGAGGATGAGGAGGTTGTTGAGGGAGTCGTTGCCGCAGTTTGCGGATCGGCCGTTTGTGGAGAAGAAGTTGTGTTGGTTTGCGGATACGAGTGATTCGGAGTTTATTATTGATTTTGTGCCGGAGACGGAGGGGTCGGTTGTTCTCTGTTCGGGAGATTCGGGGCATTTGTTTAAGATGTTGCCGATTGTGGGTGATTGGGTGTTTACGTTGTTGAAGGAGAGGAAGCAGGGGGTTGGGAGGTGGAGGTGGAAGGGGGGTAAGAAGAAGGAGGGGAAGTGGGAGGGGGATGTTAGTTGGCGTTTGGGGGAGACGAGGGAGTTTGAAGAAGTCAGACTAGCTCCGGCTCCGAAGCTGTAGACTTGCTTTTTGTGTGGTATGAATTGGGATTTGTTATTGCTATAAGTGTCATGTAACTTCGTCTATTTATCTTCATATATCGTTAAGTAGTAGGCAGAAAAGAATCACAGCTACGACAGTGCCAATTTCCAGTTCATCCGGTTAATAATCATTTGCCAATCGAATCCGCTTCCACACTCATGAGGGTTGAGGTCTCGGAACTTCCAAACTGTCTCTGTGGCTTCACGCACGATGGGGATGTTGCTGACTGGCCATGCATGAGCGAGATAGGTAAAGTAATTGAGAACGCGCCCCC